TACGTGTCCTTTTTTCCCCCCACTGCAGCAGACAGCGTCTTGCTTTGCTGCCCATGCTGGAGTTCAGTGGCACAATCATAGCTCCCTGCAACCTCAAACTCCTGGACTCAAGCAATCTTCCCACCTCAGCCTCCCAAACTGTCGGGATTATAGGTGTAAGTCACTGCATCCAGCCACAATCTTCTTTTTTATAGCTCAATTAATGATACTTTATTGCTTTTTGTGTACCAAGAAATTGATCTGTGAACTTCCCTCATTGAAAATATACCACAATTTTTATAACCTTGTTTTTTTCATCTCTCTCTCTCTCAAAAATAGAAGTGGCCCAGGCCTCTCTGGACCTTAGGGAGGCCCTGAAAGCCAGAGAGGAATAAAGCAGATGCTTCCGATTCCAGACCAAGGAAAGACAGTAACTTTGGGCTTTAACTTTTATCTTTGCTTAATTATTTTTTCCTTTGCAAAAAAGAAAGGGACTCAATTTCCTCAGTGGATGGCTCTATGATTTTGAATGTACAGCTTGTTGACTCCTTAGGCGTTGTGTTCTAAGTTTCTCTATGGCAGGCCTTGAAACCCAAACAGTTTATCAACGTCGGGCAATGTCTGTGGAGTGGTCACTCTGCAGGTGAGAGGAGGGCCTCCCTGGCCAGAGTCTTCCTGAGTTTCTATGTGGATCTTCCTGAGTCAGGTCCTCATGTGCAGGCTTGAGAGTCGAAGAAAGAAATTCCCACAGGGCACGGTGGCTCACGCCTGTAATCCCAGCACTTCGGGAGGCTGACACAGGCAAATCACTTGAGGCTAAGGGAGGAGACCACCTCTCATGTTGTCTTATGCCCAATTTCTGCCTCCAAAGAAAGAAGAAGTAAAAACTGAAAGGGAGAAATGAAATCCACAAGCAGACAGCCCGGTGCCGCACCCTGGGCCTGGTAGTTAAAGATCGACCCCTGACCTGATTGGTTCTGTTATCTATAGATTACAATGTATAGAAATGCACTGTGAAAATCCCTATCTTGTTTTGTTCTGATCTAATTACCGGTGCATGCAGCCTCCAGTCACGTACCCTCTGCTTGCTCAATCGATCACGGACCCCCTCACACGCACCCCCTTAGAGTTGTGAGCCCTTAAAAGGGACAGGAATTGCTCATTCGGGGAGCTCGGCTCTTGAGACTGAAGTCTGGCCGATGCCCCCAGCCGAATAGACACCTTCCTTCTGTAACTCGGTGTCTGAGGAGTTTTGTCTGCCGCTCGTCCTGCTACAAGGCCAGAGCTGTTGGTGAGGCAGCTGGAAGGAGGAGAGATTAATATATGTAAACTTTTCCTTAGGTCGAAAAAATATCAATAAACTATAACCAAAAAAGAAAGTCAAGCAAACTTTCAGAGGTATAATTTCAGGTTTTGGTTTTTAAATTCTTTGATGGAAGTATAACATACAAACAAAATAACGCAAATCATAGATGTACAGTTCAGCAAAATTTGAGGAGATGACTATCCTTGCCTAACAGCCACCCAGATCAGACACCCACGCCCTTGACGAGTCTCCTTCCGTATGGTATAGGGCGGGCTTCTGTGATCCATAGATATGGGCCATGGGCTATGACTTCTAATGCAGCAGGAGGAGCTGCAGACAAAACCTCTCAGACACCGAGTTGTAGAAGGAAGGGCTTTATTCAGCTGGAGCATCGGCAAGCTACTGCCTTAAAATCTGAGTTCCCAGAGTGCACAATTTCTGTCCCTTTTAAGGGCTCACAACACTAAAGATTTCACATGAAAGCGTCGTGATTGATTTGAGCAAGCAGGGGGTACGTGACAGGGGCTGCATGCACCAGTGGTCAGAGAGAAACAAAACAGGGCTGGGAGTTTCACTACGTTCTTTTATACAATGCCTGGAATCTATGAATAATATCGGTTTCTAAGTTATGAGTTGATTTTTAACTACCGGGTTTAGGCCAGACAGGCCAAGGTCTGGTTTTGGGCACCGGGCTGCCTGTCTTTGGTTTTACTTCCTTGTTTTTTTCTTAAAACAGGTACTGAGTATAAAACAATATAAAGCAATATGAGAGGGTCTCTCTCTCTGTCCTCACTAAGGATAAGCCAAAGGTGCTGTGCCTTGCTCTCTCTTGGATCACTCTCTCTGGGGAAAGCTGGTGGCTGTGTCTAGAAGACACACAAGCAGCTCTTTTGAGCAAGGAGCTGAGTCCTCCCACCACCAGCCACGTGAATGCGTGACATTGGAAGCAGATCCTCCAGCCCCAGTCCAGTCTTCAGATGACTGCAGCCCCGGCCAACATCTTGACTAGAACTTAATGAAAGACAGATCTTGAGCCAGCACCACCCACCTAAGCAACTCCCAGATTTATGACTCTCAAAACCATGAGATAATGAACATTTGCTGTTTTTGGCCGTGAAGTCATGGGGGAATTTGTTATGCATCAACAGATATCTAATATAGTTGGGCCACATTTGCCCAGGGCCAACCTCTGCAGTCACATCCAATCCTTATTCGTTTACTCACTCAGCAAGTATTTTTTTTTATGCCAACCATTACATCACCATACTCTGTAGCTGGACGCCGGGGCATTCGTGGTGAACGAAGCTGGCCCAAATGCTGCTGTGATGTAAAGGGAGATGGATAGAAACCACCCAAAGGAAACACATTAACAGCATTTGGCAAACCGTGGAGGAAATAAACAGGGACCCATAATCAAGACAATCGGGGTGATCCCTGCGAAGGATGATCACAGAGGCCTTTCAGAGGAGGCAACGTCAGAGGTGAAACCAAAAGGATAAGAAAGAACCAGAGGTAAGAAGATCTGGGGAAGGGATTCAAGGGGAGGAGCAGCAGGTGCTAAGGCCCTGGGGAGGGATGCATACTGTGGCTAGAACATAAAGACCACGTGGGGACAGGGCAATAAGATAAAATGGAAGAACCAACCAGTGGCTGGTCCCCTCAGATCAAGTAGGCCAAGCAAGGAGAGTGGGTGCTATGGTTTGGCCGTGTCCTCCCTCCAATCTCAAATTATAGCGCTCATACTTCCCACGTGTCATGGGAGGGACTTGGTGGGAGGTAAATAAGTCATGGGGTCAGGTCTTATGTTGTTCTCATGATAGTGAATAAGTCTCACAAGATCTGATGGTTTTACAAAGGGGAGGTCCCCTGCCCTGCACATGCTCTCTCTCTCTTGCCTGCCACCATGTAAGACATGACTTTGCTCCTCCTTTACTCCTCCTTTGCCTTCCACCATGATTGTGAGGCCTCCCCAGTCACGTAGAACTGTGAGTCAATTAAACCTCTTTCCTTTATAAATTACGCAGTCTCAGTTATGTCTTTTTTTGGTGGGGTGGGGACGGAGTCTTGTTCTTGTCACCCAGGCTGGAGTGTAGTGCCAGGAGCTCAGCTCACTGCAACCCCCAGGTTTAAGCAATTCTCCTGCCTCAGTCTCCTGAGTAGCTGGGATTACAGGCACCTGCCACCACTTCTGGCTGATTTTTGTACTTTTAGTAGAGACGATTTCACCATGTTGGCCAGACTTGTCTCAAACTCCTGATCTCAGGAGATCCGCCAGCCTCAGCCTCCCAAAGTACTGGGATTACAGACATGAGCCACCACGCTCAGCCTCACGTATGTCTTTATTAGCAGCATGAGAACAGACTAATACAGTGGGTTTCATTTGAAGAACATGGAACAAGAGGTGACATGACTATTGCAGAACCGTGTCAAGGTGCTCTCTTGTTGCATTATGTAGAAGAAAGAGAAAAGGTGGCAAGAGGGATTGGGAAGAAAGTGGGAAGTCACCATAGTATTGAGAGGATAGAGGACAATGGTGGCATCAGGGAAAGTGAGGGAATGGGAAGATTGGAGAGATTTATATAAGGATTGATGAGAGATAAAGGAGAGAGGAATAAGAGATTACAGGACTTGGGCTGCAGCAACTATCATGGAAAGAAAGCGTGGAAAAAGAACAGATTTGTAGGACAGAGACAAAGATTTGGGGGAAAGTCAATAGACCAAGTTTGTGCATGGCAAGGTTGGGAAACTGTGGCACATCCAAGAGAGACATGAAGTAGTCCCTGGTCCTACCTTCCCGACTTTTTCAGGGGAAAGTGATCCTAAGCCCATCATGTCAGGAGATGCTAAGCCAGGGCCAAAGACCCTAGGGAGCTTCCCCACCCTGCACGATAGACCCAGCCACTCCACCCACTTCCTGCCCCTGCACCCCTTTCTCCTTGTTTCGTATCCCCACAGCTGCCTTCCCTCAGACCTTTCGGGGCACTGATTATAGTTAGTGCTTCAAAGACTGCTTCCCTTGTTCACAAATAAGAAGCATTGAAGATTGTCACCAAACCAAGTTCCAGCCTAGGTGAACACGTTCAGCAGGGACACTGGGTGTCTCTTTCTCTCCCAAAACTAAGAAGTTCAACGTGCAGTGTGTGTGCTGCTTCTCAACACAGCAGAAGCCATGGACCGGGATCCAATGTGTCCTCCTTTCTCCTGCCTGGTTCCACCCCCTGACCTGGGCACTTGCCTTTAGGGATGAAACTTGCTCTGCTCAGAACTCCCCACAGGTCTCCACACCCAGGTTGCACCTTGGGCCCTGGTTCCTGGCCCCTTGAATGTCTGCATCCACATCTGGTTGGCTCCAAGGGCAATGTGGTGATCCCTACTCAGATAGCTCTGGCTAATGACCAGAATGGGGCTGGGCTATAGACCAGGTTAGAGGACTCAGCCTGGAGAGGTCATCAGGAAACAATGGAACTAGTCCTCATTGGTGTGGCGGCCAGGATCAAGATATTTGGGATAGGAGGGACCCAGAAGCTGAGAAGCAATCCAATTAGAGTAGAATTATTCAAAAGTCTCTGAAGAAACCCTAAGTGACGTCTTAAGCCAATGGTCATAAGGTTTCAGAAGCACCGGATGGATAACTTTTGGAGATTTCCTGTACAGCACCGTCCCTGTAGTCAACAACGCTGTATTGTACACTTAAAATTTGTTAAGAGATCACGTCGATCTCATGTTAAGTGTCCTCCCAAAGTGCCGGGATTACAGGTGTAAGCCACCGCACCCGGCCTACATTTTTTTTAACTTTTAAAAAAGTATCCAGCGATAGGGTCAGGGTCAGAAGTCCTTTTTGCAGTCAGAGGGGCTGTGTCTCTGGACAGGGTTCCAGTGGGCGTGGGGTGTGGCAAGTTCTCCTGTTCATGGACTCTGTCTAAGGAGTCCTCCAAGGCCTGTTCACCCAGAGGATAGCACCGAGTATGCTCAGGAGCAGAGGCACCTTCAGGAGTGGGAGAAGCAGGAAGTAGGCGCAGCTGGGCAGGGACCTGTGAGATGGAGAGAGTGACCAGTAGTAAGCTGCCTCCTCTGGGGAGTCCCAGGCTCTGCCTCACCCCTCCTTCCCTCGACGTCTGGTCCTGTGCCCTCAAACCCAATGTCAGCATCAAGCCTGGTGGGTACCAGGGTCAGGCAGCTCCATGCTGAGGGTCACAGGCTCCTGACCTTCATTCAGCTCAGAATTAACCTTGAGTGTCAGGACCCAACAGATGCTGGAAGGTGAGGGATAGAGAAGAAGAGAGATATGGGAACCTAGGCAGGAACTGGCTCCCAGAAACAACTTCCAGAACAGATCCCTCAGTCACTGACGCCTGCAGAAACTCTGCTCTTGCTGGGAACAACCTCAAGGATGAAATATTGCTTTACAACCACCTTCACTCAAATTAAATATGATCACAAGAACAGCTCTTTCCCTTAAACTGCTTAACTATCTCAACCCCAAGGAGTGACCTCTCCAAGCTCAGCCCATGGCCAATCCTCCCATCCCTTGGGTCCCACTACACTGCCCCCATTCCAACTTCTCAAATGCTGCATTTTCTCCCCAAAACGGGCCGTTGTGCCATCTCTCCACCTTCCCAGCCCTCCACCTGTAGAGCTTGTCTGATGCCCTCCCCGATCCTCTCTAAGACGAGCCCCTGTAATAAACTCTGTTGGCGCCCTGCCCCATATCCCCTTTGCCCACTTGAGCTCCTGGGAGCTGCAGGCAGTCTTGGCCCCACCAAAGATTGCCCAGTTCAGGCTCCCCTTCTCTGCCTGAGGTTATCTACAGGAGTGCACACATTTTCCTGTGCAGAGCAGGCCAGATGGGCCACAGAATTCATGCCCCCAGGAGTGCCTTCTGCCTGGAAGATTCTGTCTCCAGTTCTGAGGAACTTTCTACACAGTCTCTCATAGGGTGCCCAGAGGGACTAAGCTCCAGTGTGTCCAGTTACTACAGTGTTAACCCCTTCATTACAGTGCATTTCATTTCCCTTTCCCTTTCCTGGTCTCATTTTCTGCTCTCTCAATGTACTTCCTGAGATTACCTCTCAATAAACAAATTGCTCCTAAGTCCCTGTCTCAGGACCTGATTTAGAGGAAACCCAAACTAAGACAGTCCCTTTGTTCTTCGTTTCTGTGGAACATCTTGTATTTCCTTGATAGCCCAAATCATGCCCCACCAGCTTCCCATACACCCTGGCATCCTATCTCTTTACATCTGCTTTATTTTCCTCCATAGTTATTATCATTAGTTGACATATTTCCTTGATCTATCATCTATCTATCTGTCTCTATTACATATCTCTTTCTACCAGCGATCATCTCCATCTGTCTATTCAGCCAGCCAGTCAGCCATCTCTATCATCTGTCATATCATATCTCTATCTCTATCATCTGCCTATCTATCTATCTATCTATCTATCTATCTATCTATCTATCTATCTATCCATCCATCCATCCATCCATCCATCCATCCATCTATCTATCTATCTATCTATCTATCTATCTATCTATCTATCTATCCGTCTGTCCGTCCGTCTGCCTATCTATCTATTTATCCATCTGGCCACTGTCTGAATCTACCTATTTGCAATTTCCTCAAGAGCACAATCTTGCCCCTTTGTTCACTGCTGCATCTCCAGAATCTCCACCAGTTTCTGGCACATAACAAATAAATACCTGTTGAGTGGGTGAATAATCGAGGAAACCTGTGTCTAGGAAGCTCCACCCTACGAAAGAAGCTACACACATGGCAAAAGACACTGGGACACGTGCATTTTACCCTTCGCATTGGCTGGGCCTGGTGGGAGATCCAGGTGTCTTCACAGAGTTCTCAGTACTGGAGGCTGAGGATAAAGAACAGATATGCCTGAATCTTCGCAGCTGAGTACCTGCCGCCTGCATGGTTCTGACTTCATAAAGCATAGGACACTCAAGGAGGCAGCTGGACAGATGTTCTAGGACCATCATCTCCCCATAGGCAGACCAAAGCCCGGCTAGAGTCATAGAGCATCCCCCCTCCAACCCTGTCCCAATGGATGTCTTGTCCCGCTCTGGGGCCAGGTGGGCATTTTATAAACTCAGACCAGAGGATGACCACCTTCTCCCATGTTGGTGTCCCCCATCTCATTGAAAATCAACGTGCTGAAGGTCAGCTGGGCTTAGGTTCCAAAACCCCTCATCCTTGCCAGTGTATCCACACACCGCCACTACCCTCCAGCACACACTGTCTCTCACACACACACTCTCACACCTGCACACACTCTCACATGTGCACTCACGCAACTCACCTGCTCTCACACACTCTCACACACTCACTCATACACCTGCTCTCGCACACACTCACACACACCTGCTCTCTCACACACTCTCACACACTCACTCACACACACCTGCTCTCTCACACACTCACACACTCACAAAGATCTGCTCTCACACACATTCCCACACACCTGCTGTCACACACACTCTCACTCACACACACACCTGCTCTCACACTCTCACACACACTTGCTCTCACACACTCACACACCTACTCCTGCACACACACACTCTCACATACACCTGCTCTTACACACTCCCACACACTCACACACCTGCTCTTGCACACACACACATCTGCTCTCTCTCACACAACACACACACCTGCTCTCACACACACTCTCACACACTCACACACCTGCTCTTGCACACACTAACACACACCTGGTCTTGCACACACTCTCACACACACACACCTGCTGTCACACACACTCACACACACCTGCTCTCACACACCTGCTCTTGCACACACACCTGCTCACACTCACACACACACACCTGCTCTCACACACTCTCACACACACACACCTGCTCTCGCACACACTCACACACACACACCTGCTCTTGCACACACTCACACACACCTGCTCTCACACATACCTTCACACCTGCACTCACTCTTACATGTTTACACACAACTCACATTCACACACTTAAACACACTTACACTCTCCCACTCACTCACGTATTTCCCACACACATTCACACAACACACTCTCCTGCTCTGATGCACCACACTAGGCCCCCACATGAGGCCCAGTTCTTCTCTCCTGAGCCAAAATTTCCGTGGCTGCTCTGCAGTGATGGCCTCAGACGTCTGAGAAAAGAGGCTCTTACCCAAGGAGACCAGCACTTGAACCTGGAAGAAGGGATCAGGCAGGAAGCCAGACAGGCCATCTTCCTGCAGTATTGTTGCAATCCCACATCGGTATTTTCCTGCATCGTCTGCCGTGAGGTTCTCCAATGTCACGGTGAAGGTGAGGTCCTCAGGATGGTCTGTGATGACCACTCGGTCACTCCTCACCATTCCCTCAGACCCTCTGATCTCCACCATTTCATGCCAAATTGGCAAGCATGGTTGTCTGCACCAGTATTTGTTAAATGTCTTGTATTTCTCTTCATACTGACACTGAACGCTCAGGGACTCCCCCACGGTGCCCATCACGGTGCTGGGGCCACTCACAGTCAGACAGCCTGGAAAACACAAGTCCGTTTCCCCTTCTTCACCTGGAAGAGCCTGGACCAGTGGAACCTTGAGTGTTAGGTCCTTTGCACACCCAGTGTCGCCTGAGGCTGGAGGAGGGAGCAGTCAGGAACCAAGGAGCTATGGGCTATTTGCAGGGGGACACCCACGGAGATGCCTGGTGTGGGATGCTGAGACTCCAGAGGCCATGCCCAGCCTGGGTGGGCTCAGCCATCGTAGAGGGGGGAGAGGCTTGACTTCGATGGCCTCAGGCAGGTTCTGGGTCTCCCAGAAGTGTCAGTCCTGAGAAGAAACACCTGTCTTCATTGAACACCAAAGATTGAATGAAGCCACTAAGTACACTCTGAATAAATGGATGGTTGGAGAGATGGATGGATGGATGGGTGGATGGATGGAGAGATGAATGGATGGATGGATGGACGGATGGACGGACGGACGGATGGATGGATGGATGGATGGATGGATGGATGGATGGACAGATGGATGGATGGATGGATGAAATAGGAAAGGAAATAATATTGAGAACCAGGAAAAACCAGAAGCAGCCCAGTACGGAGGGCAAAGAGGAAGCCTGGGGCTTCTGGCTCTGTCTCCTTCCCAAATCATCTGTGGGCCTCATACTTGCAGTCCCTGCCCATATAGATGAGACCTCCTGTTTCCAGGTCTGGATCACAAAGAATATGGGGGCTGCCCGTGGGGATATCAAGGAGCCATGTAGAAAGGGGTTGTTCTTGTGATTCAAGGACATTTACACCTGGATTTTTCCCCCGGGACAGAATCCTGTGGCGACACTAGCCATTGCCTGACATCTGTAGAGCTCAGCTCCATGCTGACACCCGTCAGAGCTTCCTTCCCATCCCCACTTCTCTGCAGCACCCACCCACCTTGGCATGTCCTGGGCCTCTTCTCCAGATCCTCTGCCCACTCCAATATTTTGACATTACTCCCCCTCTTCCAGGCCCCTCTCTCATTCCTCCACCCACTCTGCAGGCTCTGGGTCCAAATGATTAGGACCCAGCCCCACAAACTCTCTGTTTCCTGCCTCAGGGGCCTCACCAGTCCCAAACAGCTGCTGTCTCATCTGCTCTTGATGGGGAGGTAGGTGGTTAACCCAGGGCAAAACAGCTATTGAGAAATGGTTTTGGCAAAACACCGAGCTCCTGAAAAGGAATTGTGGATGTAATCTGTCTGCCTATCATCTATCTATCCATCCATCCATCCATCTTTCATCTATCCACCCATCCATCTAGGTAATGTATTGCCATCCAGTGACAGCGAGGCTTTGCTATGTTTTATTGTGAATTAAAAGAAAAATCTGGCCGAGAGTGGTGACACACACCTATAATCCCAGCACTTTGGGAGGCCGAGGCGGGTGGATCACCTGAGGTCAGGGGTTTGAGACCAGCCTGACCAACAAGATGAAACCCTGTCTCTACTGAAAAGACAAACAAATTAGCTGGATGTGGTGGTGGGTGCCTGTAATCCAGCTACTCAGGAGGCGGAGGCAGGAGAGTCACTTGAACCAAGGAGGTGGAGGTTGCAGTGAGCCAAGATTGCACCAGTGCACTCCAGCCTGGGCGACAGAGTGAGACTGTCAAAAAGAAGAAAGAAAGAAGGAAAGAAGGAAAGAAGGAAAGAAGGAAGGAAGGAAGGAAGGAAGGAAGGAAGGAAGGAAGGAAGGAAGGAAGGAAGGAAGGAAGGAGAAAAGCAGAAAAACTGTATCTTTTGCATCTTCATTTTCTTGTCTCACATTTTCTCACTGTATTTCCCAGAAAGCAGGCTCACGTGGCCCACTGACCTATTCTGCATTAGAACGCTGTCTGCCTCTCTGAAGCAGTGATTCTCACCTGGGTTGGAGGGCGGGGGGAACATTTGGCAATGACTACAGATATTTTTGGTTGTCCCAACTTGAGTGGGGAATTGCTGCTGGCATCTGGTGGGTAGAGGCCAGGGATGCTGCTAAACATCCTACAATGCACAGGACAGCCCCCAACACACAGAATAACGCAGCCCCAAATGTCCACAGTGTTGAGATCCAGGAGCCTTTCCCAGGGAGCTAACTGCCTCCTAGGCACAGGCTTGGGGGCAAGGAAGGGGTGGGCACCCCCTGTCCTCTCCTGCTATTGCTGCTGCTCTCAGCTCAGGCTCTGGGGGCGCTGTCAGCCTGCTCTTTCAGGTCCTTAAATTTCTCTCTCGATGATTTGGGACTAATTCCTCAGATCTGGGAGGAAAAACACTGTGGGGCACACACTGAATCCCACCACAGAGCCTCCCTCCCTTTGGATATTCAGTCCAGACCCTGACCCTGAGCCAACATGGGCAGCCCCCTCCACCTCCACCCCGACCCCGCTGCCACCCAGCAAGCTCTCCGCCTACCCAGCCTTGCCAAGAAACTCACTTTCTCCCTCCACCATCATTTACGGAAATTCTCGGACCAGGGCTGACCACAAGTTCCCAGCTGTCTCACCCTTCTGGGGGCCATTACGTAGCAGTCCTGGGGCCAGCCCAGACCTGTGGGGACACCCAGGGTTCCCACACGGGGATGCAGCAGTGCCTCCAGATAGGTAAGTGAAGCTTTACAAGGAGGTGCAGCAGAAACTGACATTGAATTATAGAAGGAACAATGATCTTGGAAATAAAAGTATGTAGGTTTGGACCTTGACTGTGCCTTTTATAAACTGTTTAATCTAAATTATTTTCACCTCTATAAGCGAGCCTCAGTCTCTTGTTTTCATCAGGACTGCAATGAGAATTAAATTAGGTAACGGGAAACAAGACATGTATTACAGTGATTAGACTAGTAAGTACTGGTTTTCTGCCCCCTATTCCCCCTTCTCTCTGATGGATCGTGGAGGCATTCCTGATCTTAATAATGATGGTAATAATGATTAAAGTTGCCAAATCTACTTAGCGCTTACTGTGTGGGAAGCAGTTTACCGTTTAATCCCCACCTATCCCGATGAGAAGATTTGAGAAGCTTCTATGCACACCCCACTCTCTCTTTCTTGATATCATTTCTTCCTCTTGCCCCTTGCCAGCCTTTTCTCATGCCTGCCTCACCCTGACCCGCCAGAGCAGACCCCCCTGCACCCAGGACCTGCCCTGCTCACCTGGGACACAGAGAAGGAGCACAGCTGATGGCAGCAGGGCAGCCCCAGCCCTCTGGGTCATCTCACCAGCATGGACGTCCCTTGTGGCAGCAGGGTCTGAGGCTGGAGCCCAGTCGCAGAAGGTCAGCTCGTCTGTCCCCTCTTCTGCTGTTCTGGACACTTCTCGTTTCCTTCTCCAGCCTCTTCGTTTCCTTCTCCGGCCTCTTCTGGGTTTGGTTCTCAGAGCTGGTGCCAGGATGGAGGAAACTGGGGCCACGGGGCGCTATGTGGTTAGGTGAAACAGTTTTGAGAACTTGGCAAAGTTCTTCCTAATAAAATATGTTTGCATTTGCTGTTCCCCTTTCTGTTCCCAGTAAAGACAACGCGTCCCTCCCACTACCCACAGCTGACAGGCCTGCCCTTCTCCAAATCACAGCATGGCCCAGGACCAGTGCGGCTGGGCCAACTGCCATCTGGATTTTCTGGGCAGGTCCTCCCCTCTGTGAATGGCCAGTTTTCTGTGGCCAGCATGAGCCGCCCCAGGGTATGGCTCAGCATTCACTGGATGAGACCAGCTATTTGCAGAGCCCAGTGTAAAATGAAACGTAGGGTTCCAAAATTATTAAGAATTTCAAGATGGTGACAGCCAAGCATTGAACGTGGACCCTTCTAAGAGTAGGGCCTGTGAGACTGCACGGGGTAGGGACACACCCACAATGCCCGCTGGTCTATCTCTGATCCTTGGTGGTACAGATAGGCTGGGTGCAACCTCAGAGCCTCTGACCTCTTAACCCCTTGGTCTTGCTCTGACTTCAGAAAACCCCAGAGGTCCTTGTCTTGGTCAAGTGCCTGACTGTTTCCACAGACCTGGTACCACGCAGAGCTTGGTGGACCATCTATAAGCCTTGCTTTTGACCTGTGTGGCTCTTTTTGTTGCCCAAGATGACCACATATAACAGTTTCAATATATCAAGAGCTAACTCCGGGAACCTGGCCAGAAGTGTGCCCAATATACACAGAATGGCTGTGGAGGATTTATAAATGCAAGCACAGCCTCAGAATGCCTCATCCAGGGACTTAGATTCCTGGAACTAGGAAACTCTAAAACCCTGGCATTCTGTTATCAAACGTCTCCTCTTACTTTGGTGTTTCAGTAAATGTATTTCCTGCTTGTTCATTTTTTGCTGCATTCGAAGTCCTCATATTTCTGTGTGTGTGCACGTGTGTGTATATGTGTGTGGTATGTGGGATATGTGTGTAGTGTGTGTGGTGTGTGTAGTGTGTGTAGTATGTGTGCTATGTGTGTATGTAGGTACATATGATGTATGTGCATGGTGTGTGGGATGGTGTGTGTGTAGTGTGTGTATGTGTGGTGTATGTGGTGCGAGTGGTGTGTGTGAGATGTGTGTAGTGCGTGTATATGTGTGTGGTGTTTGGGGTCGTGTGTGTAGTGTGTGTATGTGTGTGCATGTGTGGGGGGGGGTTGGTGTGTGTGTAGTGTGTGTGGTGTGAGTGGTGTGTGTGGTGTGTGTGGGATGTGTGTAGTGTGTATGTGTGTACATGTGATGTACGTGTGTGATGTGTGGGGTGGGGTGCATGTAGTGTGTATGTTTGCATGTGTGGTGTGTGCACAGGTGGTGCATGTATGTGCATGTGTGTGGTGTGAGATGTGTGTACATGCAGTGCATATGTACGGTATGTGGGGTAGGATGTGTGTAGTGTGTGGTGTGTGTGATGTGAGTGGTGTGTGTAAGATGTGTGTAATGTGTATGTGTGTACATGTGGTGTGTATGGTGTGTGGGGTGGTGTGTGTAGTGTATGTATATGGTGCATGTGTGGGGTAGAGTGTGTGTGGAGGTGTGTGTGTGTACTAATGTGTGTGATATGCGTAGTGTATGTGTGTGGTGTGTGGGGTGGTGTGTGTAGGTGTGTGTACGTGTGCACATGTGGGAGCATCGTGTGCAGTAAATTGTGTGTGTGTCCATGCGTTGTGTGTGTGGTGTGTGGGGTGGTGTGTGTGGTGTGTGTATGTGTGTGTGCATGTGTGGGTGTGTGGGGGTGTGTGGGGTGTGTGTGTGGCCATTTGTGTATGTGGTGTGTGGGGTGGTGTATGTAGTGTGTGTATGTGTGTGTGCATGTGTGGAGGGGTGGTGTGTATGGTGTGTGTGTCCATGCATGGTGTGTGTGTGTGGTGTGTGAAGTGGTGTGTGCTTAGTATGTGTGTGTGCATGTGTGTGGGGTGGGAGTGTGTGTGGTGTGTGTGTGTGTCCATGCGTGATGTATGTGTGGTGTGTGGGGTGGTGTGTGTAGTGCGTGTCTATATGTGCATGTGTGGGGGTGTGCTGTGTGTGGTGTGGTGTGTGTGTGTGTGTCTGCCCATTGTAGATATGTGTGGGGTGGTGTGTGTGGTGTATTGTATGTGTGTGAATGTGTGGTTGTGGGGGTGTGTGGGGTGTGTGTGTGTACATTTGGTGTATGCGTGTGGTGTGTGGGGTGGTGTGTGAATGTGTGGTTGTGTGGGGGTGTGTGGGGTGTGTGTGTGTACATTTGGTGTATGCGTGTGGTGTGGGGTGGTGTGTGAATGTGTGGTTGTGGGGGTGTGTGGGGGTGTGTGTGTACATTTTGGTGTATGCGTGTGGTGTGTGGGGTGGTGTGTGAATGTGTGGTTGTGGGGGTGTGGGTGTGTGTGTGTACATGTGGTGTGTGTGTACATGTGGTGTGTGTGTGTGGTACGTGGGGTGGTGTGTGCATGTGTGGGTGTGGGAGTGTGTGGGTGTGGGAGTGTGTGGGTATGTGTGTGTACATGTGGTGTGTGTGTGTGGTGTGTGGGGTGGTGTGTGCATGTGTGGGTGTGGGAGTGTGTGGGTATGTGTGTGTGTGCATGTGTGGTTGTGGGGGTGTGGGTGTGTGTGTGTACATGGTGTGTGTATGTGGTGTGTGGGGTGGTGTGTGCATGTGTGGGGTATTGGGTATGTGTGTGCCACATATGAGTGTGTGTGTATATGGTGTAATAAGGTGGTGTGTGCATGTGTGGGGGTGTGGGTATGTGTGTGTTCATGTGGTGTGTGTGTGTGGTGTGTGTATGTGGTGTGTGGGGTGGTGTGTGTGCATGTGTGGGGGTGTGGGTGTGTGTGTACATGTGGTGTGTGTATGTGGTGTGTGGGGTGGTGTGTGTGCATGTGTGGGGGTGTGGGTATGTGTGTGTACATGTGGTGTGTGTGTGTGGTGTGTGTATGGTGTGTGGGGTGGTGTGTGCATGTGTGGGGGTGTGGGTGTGTGTGTGTACATGTGGTGTGTGTATGTGGTGTGGGGTGGTGTGTGCATGTGTGGGGGTGTGGGTATGTGTGTGTACATGTGGTGTGTGTGTGTGGTGTGTGTATGTGGTGTGTGGAGTGGTGTGTGCATGTGTGAGGGTGGCGGAATTGTGTGTGTGTACATGTGGTGTGTGTATGTGTGTGTGGGGTGGTGTGCATGTGTCCAAGGGTGTGGGTGTGTGTGTACATGTGGTGTGTGTGTGTGGTGTGTGGGGTGGTGTGTGCATGTGTGGGTGTGTGGGAGTGTGTGGGTATGTGTGTGTACATGTGGTGTGTGTGTGTGGTGTGTGGGGTGGTGTGTGCATGTGTGGGTGTGGGGGGTGTGTGGGTATGTGTGTGTGTACATGTGGTATGTGTGTGTGTGGGGTAATTGTGTGCATGTGTGGAGAAGGGAAGCAGGAGCTGGGAGGATAAAGATGTTTCCCTCTTGCAGCAGCCACAGCCCGGTTGCAAGCCTGTGGTGTGTGGGGTGGTGTGTGCATGTGTGTGGAGAGGAAGCAGGAGCTGGGAGGGATAAAGATGTTTCCTCTTGCAGCAGCCACAGCCGGTTGCAAGCCCCACCCTCTGTGCCTTGCTCTGGGCGCTAAGAAAAGGCTTGCCTGGTCCTTAGTCTCCCTGACTTTGTGTCAAGGGCTGCTCAACGCGCCTTTCTTGGGAAGCAGGGATCTGAGTCTGTGAAGGAGATGACGCACAGCTGCAGACTTTTCCAGAATGCACCCTCACCAGCCTCGTCTGGGCAAACCGCCGGGTGCACGCGGTTGTACTAGTCAGCTCTTTTCTGGCTCACACTGCCATAGCAAAACTCCCAAATCACTGCATGCTGTAACCACAAAAGCTTGTTTCTCGCTCATCTATACGCAAGCGATGAGTCAGCATTGCTTGGGCACCAGGCTGCAGGAGCCCAGTCCACTAGAGGAGAGGGAAAGCACTGGGTGGCTCGCGGAGCCTCTGCTCAGAAGGTGCACATGCGGCTCCTGCTCACCGTTCATTGTCAAAGGGTCAAGCCTGAAGTCAGTGGGAAGGAGAAGCGCAGTCCTCTTACAGTATGAGGCAGTAAGTCACTGCCCACAACCACAGAACCCACTACCGGAGGTTCCCTAATCGGGCTGGAAGGGTCCCCCACAGCACACCGACTCCGTGGCTTCTCGCTCATCCGAGGTCGGGGCAGGGAGAGGCTGCAGGGTCTGCTTAGAAACAGCCGGTGTGTGTTCCATTTTTTTAGCTAAGACCAGACACTTTGCCAAATGCGAAGGACATGGCAATGCCACAGGGAACCCACCTTTGAAGCCGATGTGCTCTGGGCCCTGGAGTCCCCCAGGAGATGACAAATTCCTTGAAGAGATGGCCCACATCTGGGACTCCCAGGCTTTTTCCATGTCAAGGCCAGCATCTGGAGCCACTGTCCCCTCCCCAGGAGGCCCTTGTCCTTCTGTCTCTGAAACCTGTCCTGGAAAATGCTCTCCTCTCCAGGAGGGCAGAGCTAGGGGAGGACTGAGAATAATGAACACTAGCCGTGTGGCACTGAAGGGCAGGGAGCCTGGGGCCCTGCCTGGCACTGCACCACACTGAGACGCCCACCATCGCTGCCCTGGGGGGACAGTTCTTGGGGCTTCCAGAAAATTCAGATCTCATCTGGGAGGGGTGCATTCTTAGGGCAAACTCTGGGCGTGTGATGTGTAGGACACTGTGAGCAGCCCACACACTTATCCCTGTTATCCCTGCCTTTCAAGGCTGTGCTTGTCTTTCTGCTTCCTCGAAGACTGTCATCCTCCCTTCTCATTCTCCCAGGATGA